TTTTTTGTTCCATCCAAAATTAGTCACTTTTTCCACAGAAATATGCTTCACTTCCCTAAAATTTTATTAGAAATAGGATATTAGGTTACCTTTCTAACTTGTTGGATAAGGATATAGTATTCACCCCCAAATAATTTATTGCATTGCTAGAATCCTATCTGTTCGTAGGAGAAAAGGTGGAGATTTTCGTGCCTATGATTGAGCTACAGTTGAAGTTCATCAAAGAAGTATCTTCTAGAAGAAAATCCCTGCGGTTCAAAAATGCAGGAAACAAAATGAGAGAAGTAACAACGTGCATAACCTTATACGTAAGGATATTTTTGAGATTGAAGAAAAAAATGCCTCCAGAGCTAGTGTTTACTGCTCCCAAACCATCATAGGTATCTAGGCTATATGTGAAATGTCCCAAAATCAGATAGACAAAAGGGATCTGATCATGTTTTCATCAACAAAAAAAGTGAGAGAGAGAGAGAGAGAGATGTTACAATGCCAAGGCGAGATATTAAAAGAAGCGCCATGCACAAGAAGTTCTTGAAGAATTTCTCAGTAACCTTTGCAGTCAGCTGGGGCTCACAAGTTTCATGCAGTTACCAATAAGCACGAAAAGGAAGGTCTTCTTATTATTAATCATCAAAGAATCATTATTACAAGAAAACCTAGAGAAAACGCTTAAATTTTCACACCTTATCCACACCCCTATCATTTTCTAGAAAACTTCTTCTTTTCCTCTTCAAACTAGCATTACAAAGAAAAAACCATGTGTCTCGAAGATCTCAACCCAAATATTGTAGCTGGGAAGGCAATGGAAGAAAAGGTTCCTTGCTATTTTCCTCGTAAAGTTGAAGAGAACCAAGAATTGGACGGGATAAAGGAAAGCTGAAGAGCACCAAGAATTTAAAACATATCCTTGAGGCTCGCCTATTTTTTCCAACCAGTTAATAAAAATTATTAAAAAAAAAAAAAAAGTAACAAACAAAAAATAATAATTAATAATTAATAATTAAAAAAAAAAAAAAAAAAAAAAAAAAAAAAAAAACCCCACACCCATAGACTCCATAAGGTCTTTCAGTCTTCCTCCGGTCAGTGAATTCCAACCATAAAATCATGAAGTGATTAAGTTTTCAAATGGTGAAAAGACATTAGCCAGTTGAAAGCAAAAGGGCTTACCTCAATCTTTAATTTGTAAGCACATTGAAGGGTGAACCTTCTATTGGCCGGGCAAATTGAAGGAATCTTTGGCTTTTGCTTTCTCTAGCTTTACAAAAAGCTTCTGCTTCATCATCTAATTTTCTTCAAGCAAATGGAAGGATTTTTTAGAACTTTGAGCCCGTATTGAAGGTTGAGGCCTAAGATACATTGTTACAAATGAAAAGCTTGTCTTCAGTTATTCATTTGCAGCAACGGATGGAAGGATAAGCCTTCCGATTGCTCAAGTATATGGCAACAACAGTCTTTCAGAACTCGAAACCACATATGTAAAAGAGATTGCCCATATATTCATAAGTGCTCGTAGTAACAACAAATGAAGAGCATAAATTACAGAAATTCAATTTATGCATGCTGAGTTTTCCTAATGATTAAAGAGTACAAAACATATTTTTGCATTTGTCGCTTATTGACACGAAAGGAAACAAGCTTGATAAGCACCATATATTACTACATCATGATGATCTGAACAAAAAACATATGAAACTCAACAAATTTGACAATTTTCCCCTATGTGTGCAATTTTATCAATAGTTGGACGTGATCCCAGCTAAAAACTTCATCTAATCAAATAATCTCACGCCTCTATTCGCATTATAATGCCATGAAAACAGGCGCTTGTACAATAGAAACATAGAGACACAATTATGTCTAAACTAGATGGAAACTATACAGTGAGAAACGACATACCTCTAGCCATGAATTTTTCTTCTAAATCCATATTTCACAATTAGGAGTCATACATGCCCTGTAACAAAAAAAAAAATGTGAATGTCGAGATTGTCACAGAATGCAAAGAACAGTGGTCACGATAGGAGAAGGTCAAGGAAGTGACATAGCTACTAATTTATCTTCCGACTTATTCTCACACAAAATCAACGAGAACCATGGACTGAATCCGTTGAATTTTTCTGTTCCATTTTGAAAGAATGCTCAAATATTAGCTTAACTCTTCAATTGCCTCGTTTACTTTCATTGATCAATATGGTATCCTTAAAGAGCTAAAGAAAACACAATAAAACTACAATGTAGCTTCTCAGAGCTAACAAATCAAACATTCCATCAACAAAACGAAATCATATTTCCGCATAAAAGCAAGCTTTCGCCTGGAAACGGAAATAAACCCGAAACTCGAAAGAAACAACAAACAGTCAAAGAATTGAGAACATGAGAATAGTTCGGAAACATAAATTTTCAACAGAGAGAAACGGCGCAACATCCAGAAATTCCAAACAAACGAAAAAGTAAGCAAACAAGACAGCAAGTGACAAACAAGATAATGCTGAAAAACAAAAGCGATGGCGGATCTGAGAGCAGAAACAAGCCAAAACTAGAAAAACCAAACAAAATATCAACACAAGCATCAGCAACCAAGAAAATCCATCTCGCATAAGAAAGAAAACAGGAGAAAAATGGCGACGAACCTAGGGTTTTTGAGATGCCGAAATCAGAAGCTCTTCAGAGCAAGGCGCTCGCGCGAATCCGGAGAGAGAGAAAGAGAGGGAGGGAGGCGGGCCGTTCGTAGATGTTAGTTAATATTGTGAGAGGAGGAATCCGTGGGAGCGGCTCCTCATTCCAGTGAGGGAATACGGTGTAATGCACGCGCGAGATAAACAAGTGAGAGTAGATTGTTCCACTTTGATGCGGAGTTGGTTCTGACTCCTGAGAACACAGCAGAATATGTCCGGGGAACCAAGAATTGTACTGCCATTGGTCAGTTACGTCACGCGCTTTGTAAGCGCGTGAACTTGGTACCTTTTATTTTTTAATAAAATATCGAATTTAATTTAGAACTATTGGTATTGACCATCAAGCGATCGCAGTCCTGCAGAGCCGTAGTATCTAATGAGATAACGTACGAATCTAAACCGTCCGATCAAATTTTATGAATCTTTAATTCCGAAATTATTGCAGTACTTTCTTTTATAAAATTTTAAAATTAAAAAAAAAATACTATGATTTTAATAAGCAATATTCGTTTTTTAATTTATTAAACTAATTAATTTAATTTTTTATATTATATCAATTGTAACTTAAAATTTTAAATTTTTAACTCACGTTAATAGAGAGTAAATGGGTAAAAGTTGAATAATACGCAAGTTAATCATTCTATGTTCTAATTTTCATTCAAATTTGTAAAGAATCTTACATTACATCAAACAAACCACCAAACTGTGTGGAGGGAGCCGAGCACTACATGGTGCAAGATTTCATTGTCCATATCAATATCTCACATTGATTGGAGATGAGAACGAAACATTCCTTGTAATAATGTGAAAATCTTTCTCTAGTATACACGTTTTAAAACCGTGAGAGATATATAACAGGTCAAAGCGGACAATATCGGTTAGCAATGAACTTGTACGGTTACAGTAACTTTGACTTATTAGAGTTTGTGCTCGAATACTACGTCAACCAGTTAACCTTGAGAGCAATATAGAATAAAATTTTTAATTGAAAAATGGATAGAATAGTCAACTATTACCACTGGAAAAATAATAGTTCAAGAAAGAAAAAGATGGTTAACTTTGATGAGCGATACGTGGCATTTGAATTATCTTCTATTATTACTGCAATTCATACGTGGCACTTTCAATGTCTTTATTGTTTTGATGCAATGAACACGTGGCACTTTCTATGTGGTGCTTTTAAGTAGAATTGCACTTTCATTATTCACCAACCGTCCTGGGTGTCCCATTGGTTGGAAATGGCCGTGACAATGACCCACGTGTACGTGGCCTTGGAAAAACCAACAGCTCCTTCCATTTTCAACTTTGAATAAAGGCTTCTTTAAAGGGAAAAAAATAATAAAAATATATATTAATCTAATCCATATCGGATGAATTGTGCTATATTTTATTGTTTATTTTAAAAGAAAATTCGGTTTAGTTCGTAAATTCAATTGTTTTCCTGTTCAGTTAACTCGACCAACCCGACCCTACCAATCTTGAAGGTTATTGTAACAACTCACGTTCATCACTAGTGGATTTGTTCTCTTTGGGTTTTTTTCTTTCGAGTTTCTCTTCAAGATTTTTAAGACACGTCTTAAAAGCATTGAAAGGAAGCCCAAAAGAGAAAAAAAAAAAAAAAAACAATATCGACTAGTAGTGAGCTTGAGTCGTTACAAATAGTATCGGAGCCAAATACCTAGCAGTGTGTCAATTAGGACGGTATGCCTCGAAAGAAAGTAAATTGTGAAATCTCACATTAATTTTGAAGAAAGAAACAAGTGTTAACGAGACGTTGAGCCTCGAAAGTCAAGTCAGTTAGAGAGAGAAATAAAATATTTTTTATAATGTGCCTCTTTAAAAAAACACGTTTGAAAAATCTTGAGAGAAAATTCAAAAAATAAACTCTAAATAAGACAATATCTACCATCAATGGAATTAAGCTGTTACAATTATTATGAAAATTAAAAAAATTCAATATTTATATGGATGATATATGATGAGTGATAAATGTTTGATATTTGAATTTTGTGAAATTTTAGGTATTAGTGCGAGAAAAATATAATTTTTTTAAATAATTAAAAAATAAATAATCCAACTCAAAAAAAAGGAAGGTTGGTCTCGGTTATAAATCCCACCAGGGTCATGCGGAAATGATTTAATGTATTTTTGTTTATTTGATTTTTATTATATATATATATATATATATATATATATATATAATATATGCATATCTCAATTAAGTATATATAAATTATAACTAAATTGATTATTATTTTAATCTTGAAAACTAATACTTGGGAAGAAAAATAAAATATAAGAATATAAATTTCGCATTTCCCAAGGACAAAGAAATTAGTGGGGTATGATTCTGTGTGGCACGCTTATGTCCAATCGGCTACAATCGAGAAGGCAACGTGCTGCCCAATCATCCATTTCTCGACCTTTCAGCGCCCCTGAAAAGTGTAAACTTTCCGCCCTCTAATTTGCTGCTTTCCCCATATATTTACTTTATTTTTTCCCTGCAAAATCATCGACGAAATTAAAAATTAGTTTTAAAAAATAAGTTCAATTTTGAAACTCAAAAAAAAAAAAAAAAAAAAAAACTATATTTTTATTTTTTATTTAACAAAAAAAATTGCAAACAAAATGTATTTTATTTTAATGTTCGGTTGAAATTTCTAAAAACGATAATAATTATCGTGAAAATGTACTTGTGTTCATTCTTGATGTTCCAGAATCTCTACGCTTCTCACTTTAGAAACGCATTGTATAACTTCAAAACTAGAAACATCTCCCGTAACCACCACCGTCTTCCTTTCAAAATCTACCTTAAATGAATCAACGCCTGAAAATAATAATAATAATTTATTAATGAGATATTTCATTATCAGAGATAAGAGAAAATAGACTTAATTCTTATTTCAATATTATTGTATTAAATTTTAAATTTATCAACAAAAATAAACTTTTATAGCCTATGAAATATAAATTTTATTTTTAGAATTTTTGAATATATATAAATACTTATTAAATGCAAAATAAAAAAACGAGTATACCTAATAATTGGATATTATCGTTAATTACGACTTAAGTTCAATTTGACTCTCAACTAACGGTTTTGACTTTTTTTTTTATAAAACTTTAAAGGGAATAAGATGACATTTTTTTAAATTAAAAAATAAATAAATATCGTGTAATTTCATTGAATTATATTAAAACAATTATCTTCAATTACAACAAATTATTATTATAACGAATATTATATATATAAATTTGAAAGGGTACCTTCTATCTTGCCGATGTTCTTCTCAACTCTTCTGGCACAGCCATTACAATGCATTGACACCCTCAGCTCCACCACCTGAAAATAAAAATAAAAATAAAAATAAATATAAAAAAAACGCGCTACTTTATTTATTTAAAATTACATTTTTTCATAAATAAAAATTACAACCTATGAATACAATTTTAAAGTAATTATTTAAAAAAATATATTTTTTTATAAAAATTATAGTGGTTGACAATATGATTTATTAAAAACTGAGAAAATATATAAATTATTTTAAATTAAACGCTTTAAAATCAAATTTTAGAAAGAAAAAAATTGAGTATTTAATTGAGACACTGAAAATACCAAAATGTCCTCACAAATGCATTCCATCGTTGCCGGTCACTTTGCCAGCCATTGACGATGATCGCCGGGATGTAGTGTTTTAAATACAAATTCAAAATCACTCTTATTTTTTAAATTACTTTTTTAAAAAAATAAAATATTTTTAAATGAAAAGAAAAAAAAAAGGAGAAAAAAGAATAGGGAAAGGAATGTGACCTTGGGGTTGGTTTGCTGGTTGGTATGAGAGATCACATCGTTGAATCTGAGAAGGTGTGAGTTAGGTTGGTTAGGCATTAATGGCTGTTTGGGCTCGAAAGTGCCTTCAATTTCGAAGCACGAACTGGAAGCTCTGGAGTTCATGAAACACGAAAACACTTTCCCAATGCCCACCGCCTTTCCCATTCCCAACGCTCTATCTCTCCTTCCTTAACTCAGATCAGATCATCCAACCAAATCAATACATATTTATATACTCCTTCTTCTTCATGCCATCCGCCATCTATCTCTCGTGTATATATATACTATAAACGTGGTTCAAATGATTCTTAAAATATTTAATTTTGTTTAGTAACCTCGTAAATCTACCACTAACAGATATTGTTCACATAAGTTCATTACGTGTCGTTGTTAGTATTACAGTTGTAAAACGTGCATGGTAAGAAGAGATTTTCATACCTTTATAATTTGTACTCTGTTCTCCTTTCTATCTGACCCAATTGTACTTTGATGACAGCGGACTTGCGATTGTGCGGCACTCACTTCCCAGCAACAAGTGAGTTACACTTGTTCATTAAACGACGTATGCTCGAGCCTCTGACCCCAATTCGAGAAGAAAGTTTTTAGAAAACAGAGCAAAAAAATTTCTATAAAGAATTTTGAAATAAAAATTTGAGAAATTGAAATTTGTGTTAGAATGATTGCAAAAGGCAACAACAAGTAAGAAGCATCAGATTTGTATATATACTTTAAATATTTTGTTAATAAATTAATAAAAATATTTGTAAGGTTTGGACTTTACCTTTTACAAGATTCAATAATACTCTAAAAAAAATTCTTAAACTAACAAAAGTTAAAATTAAGTTTACGATAAAAATGTTAATAATTAATTAATACATTTGATTTTAAAAATTTTTATTCCTACAATTTTTAAAAATTTTAAAAAACACATTAAAATATTTTTAAAAATTTTAAAATTAATAAGCGAGTGTCTATAGACTATTTTTATCCATATATGAATAGTAAAAAAAAATTTGAAAAAATTTTATGGGTATTTTTAATGTTTAGAGGTATTTTTTAAACACAAGGTGAAGAGTAATTTATAATAAAGTATTAATGGTAAATATATTTTTTAGACTTAAATTTTTTTTTCCTTTTTTTTTAAGGTTACTAATTATTTGTTTCTAATGTACTAATTAATGATAATATGCTTAATTTTAACTAATAATGTTTAATTAAATCGATTTGAAAAAAAAAAAAAAAAAAATCTCTATTTTATGAAATCACATGCTGGTTTTGAACTCACAGATCAAGCATTAAAATCCTTCAAGACTTTATTGCATACTCATAACATATTTAATCCATCACTTGATCCAATAAATGTCGGCTCCATAGCTTATTATAAATCTCAATTTATATAATTTTTATAGCTCACAAAACTAACGGAATATAAACTATTATTAATTAAAATTTGAACACATTTAATGTGATTATTTTTTGTATACTTATCATTTGTACAATATCATATATTTTATTACACATATTTAAATCAAACAAAAATAAATCGAATTTATAAGGTGAAATATTGTATTTATTATTATCATTACAATATATTTTTTTTAAATATATAGTTTTATGTTTTAAATTTTCAAATTCAAAATTTAATAACTCTAATATTTTAACTATTTCAAAATATAAAATATTATTTATTGATTTTAAAATTTTCAAATATTCGATAGTATTTTGAGAAATGTGCCTACCTAATTATTTTATTAACATCTTCCATTTTTTTAAAATCGAGATTTTTACATTTTGGCAGATATCAACATTTTAAATCTATTGAGTTTCAGAATTCGTTGATTCCCCGAAACGAATATAAATATTGGTCCTCGATCCGTGTTTCTAGAATTTGATTGGAAGATTCCTAATGTTATTGTTATTATTAATATTTTGTTTTGAAATATAGGGCAGGTTGGTCCATGTGCAAATCACTATAATAATTAAAAGATGCTAAAGGGGCTAATTTAAAATAAAATAAAAATAAAAATAAAAATATGGCCAAAATATTTTGAAACATGCCCAGCCACGTTAGTGCACGTGCTAATCACGTGAGGATAATTGCCAAATGGCATGCGTGGCCGGATTAAGTATTTAAGAAGTGTGTGTTTTATGTAGTAATTTTGGTGTATTTTATTTTGCAACATTAAACATATACTTAGGATTTCAACTTTAGGTTATATAAATTAAATGTAACGAGTGCTTATAAAAATAAATTATTTGGTTGAATAAAATTGTGAAAATACTATTTTGTCCTTGCTTCATTATGGGTATAATAACAATAGTTTAAGTATATTCAATTTCTACGAATATTTTTTTTAAATGTGAGTGAGTTCAAAATGTCCCTTAAAGATAAATCAACGTTATTTTTTATAGTAAAAATGTCAATGAAACACGAGAAAAAATAATAATAAAATACCCCTAATGTGGATATAATATAATTAATAAGCATTTTATAAAAAATATAAAATAATTTCGTATTAATTTAAGTAATATGTCTTTCTTTTGAAATTTTATTGATATTTTAATTAATTAATTAAGTCAATGATTAAAGGTCACGTGCCCTCGACTATAGAATATTAATTTATTTGAACCCAACCTAATTTAAATTGTTCCATCGAGTCATCAATTTTTTTGAGTCCCAAATTTAAATTTAAATGTTAAATTAAATCTAAATTTCAAACTAGGATTAGTTAACTTAGATGAAAATTTTTTATTAATTATTTTAAATCTCAAATTAAAATTAAATAATTAAACAAAATACGATTAGTTAATTTAAATCTCAAATTGTGAATGAATACAAATACACGGACCTATTTTCGTAAATTCCCCACCGCCAGCCCTTTGAATAGACCACATTGATGGAGCATCCTAGTTCTTCAAGAGGTGAAGTACCTCCAACCCGAGCCCACAACTAATGGGCTTAAAGTATCAAAATTGGGCCTGATGGGCTTCAGTTACCAATTTGTCAGATCCTTTGCCGACTCGTCGTCATAATACTTCATCTGTCTCCATCCAGTTTCTGACATGTCGACCCATTTGTTACGTTCGGCGCAGTAATAATGACCAAAATGGTAATTATAGAAAAATAGAGGGGCAGATAACTAGACGACAGTATCCATTTCGATTTGACTGTCACACCAATTTCGACAAAGGATAAAGACTAACAGTCCAATGCCATGGAAAAGTCGGGCGCGCGCGCGAGAGAAACGTTGGAACAAGATAATTACTCTACACCCGAGAACACCGTAACATACCCCAGATCCATTCCTTTTCTCTCTCCTCCGTTTCTTCTTCCATCTCTCTGAAGTTTTTTAGGCAAAAGCAGGAGTTTTCTTTCAGCTCTTAGCTGTCTACAAAGGCCGTAGATACCGATACTGAAGAAAAAGGACCTGCAACTCTCTCTCTCTCTCTCTCCGTTTTCGTTCTTACTTTGTTCATCAGCTGTTGGTGGATCGATTGAGTTTTATCGTCAGCTTGAAAGGCTGCTGAACAAGAAGAAGTAATCGTGGTTGTCTGCTGATTTCTGTTCGTTTCGGTTTTCGTTTCAATCTTCTACTTGTCTAGGGTTCTACGGACGTTATTATTTCTGATTCTACTCGAGTTGTTCAACTTAGGTGAGGTTTTATCTTTTCAGATCCGCTGTTTTGATTGTTGAACTGGTGGTTGTTAAATTGAGGTTTTCTTTGATTGCTAAAAAAGGAATGTATATTTGAAATCGTTGATTGTTGACTTCTGCAGTTATGTATTTGAATTTCTGTAAGTTTGTTTTTGAATTTACTGCTCTTGAAATGAACACTGGATAAGACGTTGTATTCACGTTTTATTTGTATGTTTTGTGAAACTTATAGGATAGGCAGTGATTTTGGCCATTTGAGCTCTTCTGTTTGGAGTTTATTGCTGTTTGTTTTGGCTAACATTGATCTCAATTGATGTAGGTTGACACATATGGCGAATCGAGTGAAGGAGGATGAGAAGAACGAACGGATTATTCGCGGTCTTCTGAAACTGCAGGAGAATCGCCGGTGCATCAACTGCAACAGCCTGGTACACTATTACTACCTTTCTCAGTGTTTTCTCGAACTAGATATCACGTAGCTTCACTCTATGAAGTTAAATATTCGTTTTGCTGTATTTAAATTCCAGTCGTTCTTTTGGCCTGTTCTTGATTTAGCTTCTTGAGATCTTAGTTCCATGAAAAGAAGTTAGAATGATCATTTAGAAGTCACAAGATCTTTGGTTGTAATTTTCACGTGAGATTCAATCAATTTTATTGAAACATTTGCAGGGACCACAGTACGTCTGCACAACTTTCTGGACGTTTGTTTGCACAACCTGTAGTGGAATACAGTAAGTGCATCTTTCTTATGTTTGGTTCTTGTATTTTCGATTTTTCCAAAGACGCGCAAATCAATGGTCATATATTTCATTAGTCTTATGGAGATACTTTCTTGTATCTTGTTCATTTAATTGATAAAAACTTATTTGATTTGACTAATCAAATAGCCGCGAGTTCACACACCGAGTAAAATCAGTATCAATGGCCAAATTTACTTCTCAAGAAGTTAGCGCTCTTCAAGAAGGAGGAAATCAGGTACATGCTGCACATACTTTCGTTTCTCAGAGATTCACCTTTACACTGTTAAGAATCATAATTTTCTTATATTTCCTTTTTTTTTTTTTTTTTTTTTTTTTTTTTTTTTTTTTTTT